AAATTATGGTTCTGGCTGCCAAATGATGGTGAATCACCAGCACTGGGTTCAGAAGTTCAGACTTCCCCAGTCAAGGGCTTGCCCAAGCTGATCACAGCACATCTGCTGTCAACAGCAGGGGCTCTACCAAACAAAGACCAAGGTGGAATCATCACTTCTCTAGACTAGATGATCTTGGTTTTCCTGGACTAGATGATCTTTAAAGACCCTTTCCAACCCAAACCATTCTACAATTCTTGAAGAAAGCAGCCAGCACACAGGGTTTCCAGCACAAGGGCAAAGCCTTTCAAAGCTGACTTTTGTTGTAATTGAGTGATGAGTCTTTGTCCTCTTCCCTTGTTTTGATAACAAGCACCTTACACAATCTTGCAAGCATTGTCTATTTTTATGTAATTGACCTGGAGCTGCTTGAAACACTTGAAATTCTAGAAATATTGAACTCTAGGAAAGCATGAACAGCCATTCATGTTGTCACAGTGTCTCCTTCTTGGTTTGAATCACTTCTGATTAAAATCAGTCACTGAAGACATTCAGGGTTTATTTGCTTGTGCGAATGCCTCTCTTCACCAGTAACATGACAATCTCCCTCTACCACTTCTCTCCTGAAATAAAGCAGAATTTAAAATCCTTATAAGATACTTCAGAAATACAAGACCCTTTCTTCCCTCTGTAAGAGCTGTCTTTGTCAAAGCAAGTAATAATGCTGTTCCTCTCTTGAATTTCCCAAATCTTTTGCAGGCTTCTTGGTGGAATAGGCAGGTGCAGACATTTTCTTTTATTACAAAATGGAGTAACATTGCTAGGAAATGGTAACAGATTGCCCTAGTAGCTTATGAGATGGCACTGTAGCATCACAAGGGAAGGTGGGGAAGGTTTTAGGGGGTTATAAGATGGCTGCTTAGAAACCTTTTGATATGTACACTGACAAATATATCTAAAAAGTATTTTAAGAATTAGCAACAAAAACATACTTTCATAAGTATACTTCTCACTTTACAATCCACTTTCAACCCACTTTACAATCCATTTAAGTTTACACCACTGTGATTGTGCAAGGAGGTGAGAAATCACACATGTATTTCAAGCATACACCCCTGGGCCTCTGGCTGGTGATGGATGCATTCTGTAGGTTTTCTGATGCCTTCTGTAGGTTTTTTTTCCCATGTCTCTTGGGTGCTCAAGGGTGTCTAAGGAGGCATTGCATACCCATGTCTGGGCACTTCTCACATGTAGGTATTTTACAACATGCAGCACTATGTCACAGGATTTGGTTATTTAAGCATTAAGTCCATGTTTATGGCTGCTGACTTCATCAATGTACCGGTGCCTTTCTAAAGGATTTAGGTTTCAACATGTCTTGATGCCTAGCTGAACAGGGGGTCATGAGAACCATTTTATCAGAAAGTATCAACAGTAATTTTGCTGAACTCTTTCAATAAAAACTGGCTATTAAAAACCCTTTAGGCAAGTCAAGAAGGCAGCCATAAGCTAACAATTCACTTTGGTGTCCATGCACAAACTTCTTTCCACTCTTCCAGCTATGCCTAGAGGCCCAGAACTCCCTCAGGGGAAGTCTGCAGCTCACAAAAACCACTTCCAGGCTAGACCTAAATATCCAGCATGTTCCACAGGCAGTGTCCTGTCCTCATACACAAACTGCTGAGCTCTTGCCCAGGGACACGGGCAGACATGCCAGCCTTCCCCAGCTACAGTGCTGTGCCTGCCAGCCACTGGGGTCTTCCATCTTGTCCTGGGATAACACAGGTCATCTGCTATGATTGGATTTGTCTGTCTGACGCAAGGCTGGGGAAAATGCCATCATCGGGTATATTTTCTACTCAGTAAAAGGGCTGTTCAGTTCCAATTATGCTCTTGTTATTCCTTAGAAGGTCATTTCCATGTGCTAAATACAATAACACTATTTTGCAATGCTGAATGTTTTAAACCTTTGGTTTTGGGTTCACTTGCTAATTTAGCACATCAAAGCACATGTTCTCTCAGCAACTGTAAATCTGTAGAATTACCTTTACAAATGTTGCTCAGCTGTCTGAGTGCTGGCCCTGTTCCTTATTGCTTTGTTTTATTGCAGTGCTGCTGACAGCAACACCAAACACCAAACAGCAACGCATCAAATATTGGCCATTCCATCATCAGTCAGTTCAGCTGTATAGCAAAAATTAATCCTGTTCTGTGTAGATTCAGCCAGCCAGTAATGTCTGGGATTTTTTTGCCTTATAAGTAACCAAGAATATGACATGTGATGTGCTACTCTTGTCTCACTCCTAATCAGTTGAAGCTAGGGATTTCTTCTTGTTCTGTGTTTTTTTTTTTTTGTGGAGTACGTCTATGCTACAAATGCACTTCAGAGTTGCAGAAATCTGTATGTCAAGCACTTTAAACTACAATAGATTCTTTTAAGGGAAGCAGTGTTGGGAGTAGGGCTTGTTTCACCTATCTGTAATTTCACAGGCAGAGAAATGGACTTGATCAGAAACCCAGAGACTTCCAGATACAAGTGATGAATACCAGAATGCTCCATACCAGCTTGTTGAGACCAAATATTAGGTACCATTTTCAGCTTTGGACAAGACGGGCTGCATATCACAATATCTGTCCCTGAATATGCAGAGGCACATAACTTTTACAGGCCTGAGAAGGAAAACCAGGAGTTTTAATAGTCTCTTCCCTCCTTCACTATGTTAAAAATGTTTCTGTTTCCCCAGTTCAGGGGTTTATACACCTGCAGACATAACTTACAACCCTGGGATGTATTTTTTACTCATTCTGACAATTCAAAAAAAGAACCATTTCTCCAAAAGAGGTTTTTGCTAATTTTGGAAGTGAAAGTGTAAGAAAGATTCAGAAATTTAAAATACAGTGTGCCCTTAAGGATAAAAATGAACTAGCTAGAAAAGAAGTGCAAAACCCCAGTGCTAAAATAGATGGATAAGGGAGAAGATATCTTGCAGAAAAAGACCTGTGAAACTCTTTAGAGAATGTTAAATTAAATTCTCTATGATCTAATTTATAAATTCTGAAGGTTTAACTATACTAACAGAGTTGGTGTCTTCCTTTTGTTATGCTTACACTGTAATACTTGTAAAATTCTCAAGCACTGTGAAAGCTGATTTGAGATAATAATTTCATTAATTAACGATACAAATGGTCCCTGGTGAGATAATAAAAGGGACTGGAAATATGCAATTTTGACTTCATTGTTAATAAAATCTTTTCACTAGATTTTGGCCAATATAAGGACTCACAGACTCTAATTAAGCAAGATAATTGAATATCTATGCCTAACCTGGAGATATGAATAGCTCTATTAGCTTCAAAGAAGCAACCTGACTGAGGAAAGTTATTAATTGACCTAAAGTTAGGCATATGATTGGGTAGATGAGGGCAATGGCAGATCAGATGTGTCTCTAGGGTAATTTCACCTGCAGTAACAGACTTCAGCATGGGTTAGCTCCAGACTAAGCTCCGTACTATTCCACCACACTTTTTGAAGCTCCCAGATCTGAAAGCACCATGACTATTTTAGCACATGAAACAAAGGTGCCCCTCCAGGATTCAAGGATCTCCATGAAACTTCTGATTCCAATTTTGCTTTTCTTGTGACATCCTGTACATTATTCAAAATTCTAAAACTCTTACGTCACAAAGCTGTGGCAGTAGCCAATGCTTGTAGGAGTAGTTGACAGACAGTGAATCCCACTAGGTGGAGAGAGTGGCCTGAGGAAGGGAGGCAAAGGGAAGAGGCCAGGTACAAACACACACCTTCTCTCCAGGATTAGCTCGTTTAAGAGGCAGCATCCACTCTAAGGTTCAAAATGCCTATTTGGGGACAAAACAGATGGGGACAAAAATTATCAAATTCTGCCCCTGAAAATCCTGTAGTAAAGGTCTAGACCAGCATATGTGGGGGGAAAACAAACCCAGACCACAGATCAATTGGCATCCATGGAAACAATCATATTTGTTTCCCTTCATGGTCTGACCTCTCCCCTCCAAGAATACAGGTGAGCAGGGCTAGCCAAGCACATGACATAGATGCTTTGCCATAACCAGTCTCTCTTTATTGGACTCCAGTCTGAAATGGGGCCATCATCTTTGACAAATTACTTTGTTTTTATGTAAATTCATTTGCTTGTATGACAGAAATATATGTAAATGCCAAAACTGAATCTAATTGTCTTAAAAACTAGGTCATTTATTTCCATTTTATCTTCTAGTTAATGATATAAATTTTCCAATGTCACTTTCCTAGCAGAAAACATCAGAAGTTGTTTTGCAGTGCCAATTAGCCCTTGAAGGCCTTACCCTTGATCCAGTACAATGACAAACCATATAGAGAAACTCTTCTGCCAGTGAAGAAATTCAGATTGGGTCTTGAAACATCATGGCATCTGCAGATTACTGCAGACCCATTTGCATTGTCACTGAGGTTTCAGGAAACAGATCTTGTCAGGTAGTTGTAATGTCTGTCAGGAGAAAAGCTAGCAGTGGTGGGAGAAGAGCAATGATACACAACAGTCAGAAATCAAAACCAAACTCCAATGTTTAACCCCAGCAGCCAAAAAGAAAGGAATATTGTCATTCCCCAAAAATAACCACCTTCCTGTCCCTGGTGGTCTTGAAGAGAAGGAAGAATTAACCATGTATTGCTAATGCTTAAGACAATCCTAGCTATGCCATATTTCAACAAGCAAATAAGACAAATGCTATTCCTTTGTCATAACTGAGTAGTAAAAACTCATTTTAACAGAAGGTTGTTAAATAAATTTCAATCAAAATAAAAGAAATATTTAATAGCATGAGCAAAACATAGATAAATAACAGTACATCACAATCCTGAAATTATTTTCAGTAAATCTACAGCATGACAAGCAACAAGGTCCCCAGATCTGCCTCCCCCAGCACTTACTTTACTCCAAATGGCATTGGTGCTACAAACAGGTATTCTCTGGGGCATTGCATGTGGAGTTTCTCTACTGTCATCCTTCTTCTTCATTTTATTTTTGATCCTTGCAAGAAGCGAGATGCAGACATGGGGCAAGTGCAATGATTCACTGCAAGGAGGGATACCCAGAAAGTAGGAAGAAAGAAGGAGGCAATTAGAGGGCTAAAATGGGGAAAAGAGTAGTGAAAACTCTGGAGAAAGAGAAACAAAGAGCAGAAATCTGAGTGGTATTTGAGAGAAAATATTTTTCTAATTTGGTGTGGAAAGAAGTCATAAGTGATCATAACAAGGGAGATTTTCAAATGTGCATCAGCAGCTTGCACTGGCTGTTATATCTGTGATTCAGGGAAAGGAGAGGCAGGAGATCCACTGGCTGAGAGAAGACCACCCCTACACTCTAGGTAGGCATAGGAGCAGCCCACAGCTCCAAGAGGATTTGTTACTACTGTGGATAGCTGCACTAATGAAAAGCTTGGCTGACAGTGGGAAAAGGAGCAATGCTTTACCCTTCCAGGACAGAGGAAGGTGGTAATTACTAGAGCTAATGAGTCCTGGCTCTGATTTCAATGGCATATCATTATGTTGACATAAACTCCAAAAATGAGATACAAACAGGGGATAAAAATATGAAGCGAGAATATCAGATGCAAGAAAATGGTTGATGAATATGAAAACTAAGAAATGTAAGATTTCATTACCATTAATATAATTAAAAGCAGCACAGCCATAAACTAAGACAAATCCTATAATCTAAACCTGTAGCTTTACAAGTGTGTCATGTAAGCAGGTTAAGAGAAGTGAACAGTAAAGACAGTTTCCTAATGGAACTAACTGTGAAATTCACTTGAAGAGCTAATTACTACACATGAGATTGTCTTCTCTGCTGGATCTAAAGCAGTAGTTTGCTCAGAATTCACCTTTCAAAGGGAAATTCCCCTCCAAACTGAGAGGGGAAAATGATACATTTGGTTAATCAGGTAATCATCCAAATAGAAAAGGTTTTTAGAGAGATATAAAAACCCAAACAAGCAGTGGTCCAGGACTGACCAGTACATGCAAGACTTACTCACTTAGTGCTCTGTCCAGGGATTGCTGCAGCATGGTATCCCACTGTACTTCCTCACATGAAGACTTTCACAACTATTTGGAATAAAGTCTGACTTAAAGTCAGAATTAGCTCTTTGCATGCATCTTGGACCACATTGGATGGGGGTTGAGCAATCTGTTCTAGTGGAAGATGTCCCTGCCCATGGCAGATGAATTTAAGGACTCTTCTAACCTAAATTATTATATGATTCAAGCTGATGCCTGACTTTTAAAGACACTGCAAAACATACTTGAAGAAGTATTTTGGCTGCAGGTTTTAAGAAAAAAAAAAGACAGAAAATATAATTTTCAGTAGTCCTACAACCATCTTTCTTAAAGAAATTTATAAGAGATTAATAATTTGGAGATATTAATGCTCCACCCAAAAGTCCTTCTTTTCACAATGGATACATTTAGGAAGGTGTCAGATGAGGCTGAGTTCAGTCAGCCTATTCTGCCAAACCTGTAAAATGAGCTCTTTCATGTAATGCATTTTTTACTTCAATGCATAATTCTGGATTGATACGAAATTGGCCTTCAAAATATCTCTTGTTAGCAGAAATATTTTCACTATTTTTTGTTGTGGTTTGAAGTTTTCATCTACTTGATTTACATAAAGAGGTCACCAGCAAAGCCAAGAAAGCTCCTTGCAGCCATCAATGAGACATTCTAGTGATGAAAAATGAAGGATGAAATTAAAGTCTTACAAAAGCAGCCACCTTACTTTGAAACTAGGCTGCCCAGGTTCAAACAGCAGCATAATCTATGGGAGCAGGGTGCTTTGTGGCAGCCAGTGTCCCCACATGGTTTCTCCGAGCCCCTACGTGTCCCCTGTGTTGCCATCCCTGTGCTGCCATCCCTAGCTGACTGGTTTAAGGCTGAAAAAAGTTACCTGAAGCAGACACTGCCACAAGTTTTGTTCATGAAGTCTCAGAGAGAAAGGGCAATTTTGAGGTAAAGAATTTTACCTATTTTATCTTTTTCCTAACATAGCCAGATTTATGCTTAATCTGAACTGCGCGCTCAGATGTGGAGCTGTTCAGCAACTCCCTTCCAAAAGGCAAATGCAGGCAATCTTGCTAACTGATTTCTTTTTATCAACCAGGTGGTTCTTAGGAGTAAGCAATTACCCACAGGGATGTCAGACTGACAGAGGTAGTCAGAAAACAAAAATAGAAAGGGTCTTATGATAGATTATATATTTTTGTCCACTGCCCTCGGTAGAATGTGCATTTCAACTTTGTAACCTCCCTTTTCAGGCTGTTCATGGTTTGCTTCTGTTTTATTGTTGCTCTGTTGAGGGATGTTTAAAAGTTCCTGCCAAGAGGGAAGACCCCTATGAAATACACTGAGGCACAAGAACTAGACAATATTTGGATAGATGAGAACCAATAGTTAAAGGGTATCTCATGTATGACTAGAGGACCAGAGCACAAAAAGTTGATGTTCTTGATCTTGATCTTGTTCTTTACAAACAAAGCCTCCAGCAGAACTGAAACAGACTCCAAGGTCGAAAGCCAAAGCTTACCAGCTTAATCACAACAGTGTCTTCTCTCACTGACAAATCCATCCTTTGAAACAGATAAAAAGTGATGTTGTTACCATGGCAGATCCTGGGGCTTTATCCTCAGATCCCTTTCCAAAATGACTGCTGAAGCTGAAAGATCATGTCTAAAGAGTTGAAAAGAAATCTAGGCAGTTTATCAAATATTCAAAGCATCCACTGAGAACCAAAGTTACATGTTTTTCTCTGTTTAAATCTCCCATTTCAAGACAATTTCCAGGAGTAGATTAAATAGTATTAACCAAATATAACCTAAACAGCACTAAGTGACCTGGTGCAAACCATCAGCTGAAGTTGTATGTTTAGAGCAAGCTTTCCTCATTCCCTTTAGTACGAAAAAAAGGAAGAGGCACCTATTCCAAGAAGGCCAGTGGCATCCTATGTACCAGCAATAGTGTGGCCAGCAGGATCAGGACAGGGATTGTGCCTCTGTACTCAGCACTGGTGAGGGCACACCTTGAATCCTGTGTTCCATTCTGGGCTACTCACTAGAAGGACTCAGAGAAGGGCAAGGAGCTGGGGAAGAGTCTGGAGCACAAGTCAGATGAGGGAGCTGGGGGACTTTAGCCTGGAGAAAAGGTCTCCCTCAGGGGAGATCTTATCACTCTACAACTTCCAGAAAGTTGTAGCAGTGGGTGGAGCCAGATGGGGTATGGTCTCTCAAGTAACAAGCAATGGGACAAGAGGAAATGGTCAGAAGATGTTTAGATTGGATACTGGGAAAATTTATTCAGGGAAGGGTGGTCAGGCACTAGAACACGCTGACCAGGGAAGTGGTTTAGTCATCATTCCTGGAGGTATTTAAAAGATGTGTAGATGTGGCACTTACAGACCTGAATTAGTGGTGGACTTGCCAATGTTGGGTTAATGATTAGACATTATGATCTTGGACTTTTCCAACTTAAACAATTTGATGGTTGTGTGATAATCCCAAGTAGTAGCAGTCCTTCTGCTTCTGTTTCATAAGGATCATATTATGCTACTCCAAGTTTACCTCATCCTTTAACTGGTAGTAACACTGCTCCAAAAACCATAAAGTCAAAGAATGATTTGAGTTGGAAGGGACCTTAAGGACAATCTAGTTCCAGCCCCTCCCTGCTGTGGACAGGGACATCTTCACTAGACCAGGTTGTCAGAGATCCATCCAACCTGTCCTTACACACTTCTAGAGATGGGCCATTCACAGCTTCTCTGAGCAACCTGTGCCAGTGCCCATGTGGGCCAACAGTCACCAAAGCAAGGTTTCCAGCCCTGAAGTACTGTTATTATGCATTTTATTGTGTATGATATATTTTATTGCATATTATATATTTGTACTTTAATTATGTATTCAGCTAAAGTAGGTCTGTACAATGCTCAGGAGTCAACCAAGAAGCCTTAGTGTCCACAGACACCATCAGCAAAAGTCTTCTTCAATCTAGGCATGAAGGAAACATGGGTTTGGATTTGGGCATAAAATCAAGTCACACTTGGGGTATCCAAGATCTTCAGAGAATTTTGTGTTTGGAAGGTTTGGTGATGGGGTGAAGAGGCATTTTCCGTCCCTGGCAGTTTGCTCCACTTATCCCAGTGCTGCCAGGGGGACTGTCCATTAACCATGCAAGGTTATCATGCTCTAAGCACCTTGGGGAGATAAGACAGGGAAATGCACAGAGCCAATTGCTTTGAAAGCAGCAGTAGCTCATTTTGGGCTTTTCCATCTTATATTTCTCTTCATTTTATGTCATTCTGAGCCCCAGGTGTTGAGTTACCTGAACCATGTACATGAAGGCGATGGTCACATGTGCTGGCAACTGAGGTACCCTTGCTCCTCACAGCTGAAGGATGCTGCCCACCTGGGCCAGCCAGCACAGCAGTAGCTTAGCAACACTGCCTGCACCAAGGTGTGAACATGCAAAGTCCTGCTTGTTTTTTAACAAAATGAAATAGCAGATAGAAAGAGTCGTGGTGTAATTAAAATACATCTGTCATTCCCCACCATTGATATCAGCCCTTTCAACCAAGAAATAATGGGAAGCAATTAAAACTCATATTTACAATTAGAGAATCAAGAATGGTTTAGCTGGGACAAAAGAAATCCATAAAGCATGCAGACACTACCTACAGTAGTGTAATTATAATTAATCAATAAATAGCTGACATAGACAGGGAGGCCCTTTATTGAAAATATGGCACTTCACAGATCTTGCATTCCCAGATCAAAAGCCCTCTCTAATACCCAGCAGTATTTTACTATGGAATGTTGTTTATCTTGTAAGGCACTTGAAACAACATACATTGTCAAAAGGCAGGCTGGGAAAATTATAGAGATAGAAAATTGCTTTAATGCATTAGCACTCCCCTGAACACTTTCCTTATTAAAGTAATTAGACATTTAAGACAAAGAAACATAAAGCCCTTGAGGTGTGCAAATTTCAGATGCAGTTGACATCATTTTGATACACAATAGGATTTGATTAGCAGTTGCCACACATAGACCCACCACGGAGCATGAACAACATTCACAATAAAAAAACCAAGAAAGATAAGCCCTTGGCTTTAGCTGTGTTTTAAATTTCATAGAGAAAAAAAAATGTATTGGGAAATATCCTTCAGTGGATGCATCCTGGGAATTTAAACTGCAGTCACAACATATAATGATAATTTTGAGTGGTGTTTGGCATGTTATAGTGCAGTGAATGCTGTTAGTATAGCTATAGCTGGAGAAATGACCTACTTTGGAAATATTTTCACCTGGAAATATTCTCTCTGGAACTGCAACCAAAGAGCAAACCAAAAATAACAGTCAGCACCCCTGTCAGCTTTCTTGTTTACCTTGGATAAAGTTACAGTCTCCTAGGTACTAAGTGTAGAAATTGGACCTGGAATTAGCCAAATTCTTGACAACATCACTTAAAATATTCAAATGTTTACTGCAATTTTCACTTGCTAGTAGCTAGTTATAAAGTGTGTAATCATACCCCTTGTTTCAGTGAAGTGAGAGAGTCATCCAAGAAGACATTTAAACTATTCACCCATGTAAAACCACTCCGTTACCCAAAGTGGAGCAGCAGCTGTGAACTTATACAAATTGTACAGAAAATGACCAGATTCTTGCTAAAATGTATCTCCAATGCTTGTCAGCAAAGTGAAAGGCAAGTGCATTTACAACTCATGTGCCACTCCATTTGCTTCTTCCTTTAATATCTTTTGTTCTTCTGTGCCTTTTTGCGCTCATATAATCAGGTTTCAGCCATAATTAAACTCAAGAAAATCAAGAGCTTAGAAAATTTTGTGCTTTAATTGTATTCCTGAAGCATATAAAAGTACTGCATTTCTTCTTTAGAAGGTATAATAAACCCATAGCAGTTGCTTGCTGTATCATTTAACTATCCCAATAAAAAAAAAAAAAAAAAAAAAAAAAAAAAGAAAATAAAAGAAAAAAGAATCCTTTTCTTTCCTAGAAAATAATTAGGTAAACTGAAAATTCCAGGAATGAGCTGGTATTTAGATCTACACTGATGAATCAGCCACAGTTGTAGTTTTGATGTTCAGGTGTGCTCCCATCGGGAGACGTGTGCATCTCCAAACTCTATTTTGGAAACACAGCCCATAATAATGTAAATACAATGGCATATGCTAACTATGAATACACGGAGATTACCAAAAATATGTATATATATTAAAGGGTTTAAAAGGATCTCTCTTAGCTTCACATTGAGCCTGCTGGAGACTTCAGCTCAGGAAAGTGCTTGAACTCATATGCTGAAGGATTGATTCAGCCACATACCAAACCAGGAGCTGGATTGGGTACTGCTCAGGAAGATACCTGAAATTCAACCCACACCTAAACTCTTGCCACAGCTGTGTTCTCCACTGCTGCCACCAAAGTGATAGATTATCTTGGCTGTGGCAGGGAACCAGTGAAGTGTGAATCACAAACTGATCTCCAATGGCTGGCAACGAGTTTACTTGGACAAGGAGCATGGAAGTGCCTGCTGGATGTGCATTTAAGAAACAGAGCTCATACGCTAAAAGGCATAGAAAATGCTAATGAATGTTTCTCTAAGTGTGATTTTAAAATACCTTTTAAAAAGAAGATATACTTTTCGAAGTTAATTATGTGTATAAAATACAGAAATAGAAGAAGAAATGTATCCTTTTCAATGGGATGAAGAGACACTACATTTTATTGTAGCTAGAAGTAATAAGGAAGATTAAGATTTTTCTGAATTTTAAGAAGTAGTAAATTCATTAAACATTCAGAGCATTAAAAAGATCAATGAAGTTCAAAGTTAAAAGCCTGGAAATATGGTTTCTGCTTTTCCAGATTACATTTTTTTGTGTGCTTTTCTGCAAGCTGCAATTTTTGCAGCAACTAATTAGAATTTCTCTGCTCGCATCAGCTGTGATCTGAGCTCAAAGTCCCTAGAACTTGTAACTCTCCACATTGTGGCCTATACTGCAGTAAAAGAAACCCCAGCTTGCTCCACATACAGATCAGTTGGTCAAAGTCAGTCTAATTGACTACCCCAGAGTGCTTGTAATCCTACTTGACTGCTTTCTATATCAAATTATATCCCATTTATAAAACTACACATCATTCTAGCACTTTATCTGCTAATAGGGCTGGGTGAAACAGGTTTCTCCTTAAACAATCCTTCTCCTGAAACAATCTTTGAAGAAAGAGCCTGTCATAGCAGAAAACTATCAAGGATTTTATAAGAGATATCCTATCTGCACATAAAGAATAAAAATGGCTGTATTATTACTGTTGTTCCATAAGACTGTTTAAGACTTCTGCTGAACACTTTTTTAGGAGAGAGGAGGAAGCAGCTCTACTCACATATGACAGAAATTGTCATTACATTGAGATAGACTTCTTTATACTTACCTGTCCTGCAGGTTCTTTTCCATTGATTTCCTTCTGCTGACAAAGAAATAAGTCACCCACAGCTTCTTTCAGGCTGTTTATCTCATTTATTCTGATCTTCCCACCATTCAAGTCCAGGCTGCCTCCAGTCCTGTAGGTAAGGCTAAGTCAGGTGTTTTTCCAGGCATGGGACAATAAATTCAAATGAAAAAAGAGGCTATTACAACTAATGCTTTCTAAAGTGCTTTCTCCTCCTTTTTCCCCTTGAAAATTTATGAAAACAACATCCACTAAGAATTACATTCACTGCTGGCTAACTCAAACCTGCAATGTGTCATTTTTAATGTAACTGGAATTTTTTTCTAATCTAGCTTTGAAGCTACCCCTCCTTTTAGGCAGGAAAATGGACTTGATTCCTCTCCAAGTCGCTCCCAACCTGAAGTATTCTGCAGTCCTGTTTGTTAGAACTCTGACATTAGAAGCTTGAGGAAGTGACATGGTTTAACCCACCAGACAGCTGAACACCACACAGACACTCACTCAGTCACTCTCCACCTCAGTGGGATGTGGCAAGAGTTGGGAAGAAAAAAAAGTAAAATTCATGGGTTGAGAAAAAGACAGTTTAATAGTACAGAGAAGGAAGGGTAAATAATGAAAATAATTAAAAAATAAATACAGTATGCAAAACAAGTGATGCACAATGCAATTGCTCACCACCTGCTGACTGACGCCCAACCAGTTCCTCAGAAGGGCCCTTGGGCCAGATTTACTCCAGTCCCTGGCTGAGCATGAGGCAGAGCTGGATGCAGCACTCCAGGTGGAGTCTCACCAGAGCAGAGGGGCAGGATCTCCCTCAGCCTGCTGGCCATACTGCCTTTGATGCAAGCCAGGAAGAAGAAAGGGCACATTGCTGACTCATGTCCAGCTCTCCATCCACAAGAGTATAGGAGAAAGCAAATTGTAACAGGATAATTAGGTGAAGGTTCATTTCTGGTTCAATCATTATAGCAAAGCACGTCTTTTGGAGCACAAGAAAACAGTTCAACAGCACTTAAAGCCAAACTAGAACAAGTACTTGCTCAGTCATGCAGTAAGGTTGGATGAACAGAGGGACATTGTACAGAGCTGGGGAGGAAACCTTCATCCTGCCTATGGACTGGCCATGTCACAGTTTTGGGCTAGTCCTAGTCTTGCTGAAGCCAATGACAGCACTGTATTTCAGATATAATTTTTTGTTGGTTCAACTACATGAAGAAAGGTGCTCATTCTAAGCAGGTCTGCTTTAAGGAGAGATGGGAAGAAGACAGCATTGAGCAGCTGCAGCAGCTTGCAAGTATTTGTGCTAAATCTGCGTCAAGAAAGATAATATGCAATGTCCAAAGTGGGACTGTTATGAAATCTTTTCCAACCCAGTTATCCTCTGGTTTAAATTCTTTTTGTTATAGCACAATTACATTTCATCCTGGTGCTTTCCTTTTATGCTTTTTGATCTTCATGAAAAATAGAGACCAAGCTCAAACATAAAGTTTCTGATGAAGCAAAGCACTTTCCTCTTAAATTGTTCACAATAAAATAACAATACAGATGTCACAGCATATAATGAGATGGGAAACAAGATGATATGTCTCCCTCATGTCCAGTCTCTGGCCTTTTTAATAACTCTTGGCTGGGCTGCATGGTTTATGGTAGAAAGAATCATCCTGCCAGCTGGTGCTTTACACTCCATTCACAGGCCCAGGCTTTTCTGTTAAACTAATACTGTTCCCTCATCTTTGTCTTCCCTGTCTGTCCACATTTACCCCTACTCTAAATCTTTAGACAGTGCAATGCTTTGGCACAGCTCTCCTAAGGCAAAGAGAGAGGTGTTTTGTAATGTATGCAGGCAGCCCTGTGAGAAATGTGACACAGCTCGTGTGTCCCCCTGCTGACAGACATCATCTGTCATTCAGCTGCAAAAGCACCAGCAGGAGCTGGAAGGGGGAGAGCTGATGGACTGTACATGTTAGAAAGAGCATTCACCTGATGGTTCCTGCACTGAGCTCTTTCTCAACTTGGAAAATTCCATGGACCCTTGAAACAGTGGACTGGCAGTTTTTGAAATCTTTTGTGCATACTGTTTCTTTTCTGACGTGCCAGCATTCTTTCAATCCCACACTTGAAATCTGAAATGAAAAGTGCTGTTGTGTTGGAAACCCCCAATGTGAGAAAAGGAAAGTTCATCAGAAGCCTCTCCCCTCCCTGCCTCAGTTATGCTCTTGGCTGTAAATGATGGCAGAGGAACCCAGGATTTAAAAAGCAAAATGTTTCAAATACAATTCTTCTGCTTTTCTTATCATGTAACTCTTCAAAAATAGTAGATGGGAAGCAAGGCACTAAATTACGTTCCTGCTGTAGGTACAAGGAAGAAAGGAGAGCAGGATTGACAGCAACCATCACTATTTGTGTCACCAAACAACCTCTGCATGAGATGCAGCCTTCACACTTGCTCCTACCCTGACAGTTCAGAATTTCTCCTGATTAGGAGGTTCACAATTATTTTGTGATACAAAAACAGATTAAGTCCCTTGATACAGACTGATCTGTATCAGTATAAATTACTTCAGTGTGTGCTGCTTTTGGCTGGGATAGAGTTAATTTTCTTACTAATAACTGGTATGGGGTTGTGTTTTGGATTTGTGACCATCAGGGAGCTGATAGCACAGGAATGTGTTTGTTACTGCTCACAGCTGAGCAGTGCTGGCACAGGGTCAGGGCCCTTTGGGCCTCTCACCCCACCCCAACAGTGAGAGGGCTGCAGGTTCACAAGGAGCTGGGAGGAGAAGACACAGCTGGAACAGCTGACCCCATCTGGACAAAGGGATGTCATCATAATCAGAATTTAAAGCCGGGGTAAGAAGGAGAAAGGGGAGGATGTTTGGATTGAAGGCATGTTATTTTCCCAAGTCACTGTTACACATGATGGAGCTCTGCTTTCCTAGAAATGGCAGAACACCTGCCTGCCCATGGGAAGTGGTGAACAAATTCTCTGTTTTGCTTTGCTTGCTCTTGTGGATTTTGCTTCACCTGTTAAACTGTCTTTATTTCAACCCACAGGTTTCCAGGCTTTGACTCCTCCGGTTCTCTCCCCCAGCCCACTGGGGGAGGTGTGAGTGAGCAGCAGCATGGTGCTTAGCTGCCAGCCAGGCAGAAATCCTGACAGCAGAACCAAAACCTTTTCCTCCTTCTTCAGGGTGTCAGCTCCAGCAGCACCCACAGGCTCTCTACTTCCACAGTGCTAGGATGCAAAGGTTGTCCAAAGACAGGGAGCTCTTGTACCCTTGGAGAGGCCAAAGGGCTGTGAGAGGTTTCAAAGTATAACACATTATGTTCTATTTACTCAAAACCAAATTATCCTCTCCTGTAAAAATATAGACCCTTGGGGAAAAAAAACTTTTCATATACATATTACAAATATTTACAGGTTTATAGACAAATTCAACTGTTCACACCATAAAAATACTTATAAACTTCAGGTGACAACAAAATGTACTGGGTATCTGGTTGTATTAAATTCCTTCGCTCGTCTATTCCTCCTGGAGGAAGCTTGTGGACTATTCTACATGGTTTCAGTATGGTGTATACAATGCCATGGTGTTTCTGCTTTCCCCTTCAAGTCCCCAGGAAATAACCCACAATTCTGGTACATCCGAAAAGCTTGGGAGAAGGCAAAACAGATGGGATGGGATTAGGATTGTTTATAAAATGAAGTGGTCAAAGATAAACCCTTGGCAGGGCAGAGCAATTTACGCTATTTATTGGGGGAGTAAACTTAAAATAAAATGCTATTTAGGTCCCAGTGCACAGAATGGTCTTTCACAGAAATGTCAACAGATATATTCATGCCAGGTTTTTAAGAGTCGATTTAAACTACACCACAGAGCAAGGGACATTTTAAGAGTTACTCTGAGTAATGTCATGCCTTAAACCTACCTATTTTCACCTAGGCTGTTTCATCTGTGAGTTGATGGCATGAGATAATAGAAAACATGTAATAAAAATCTTGCAATTTGTGCACTTGATGTCTTCTGAATATGAATGCCACTGAAATTTGCAAAGTAGACAAATGCTTTAAATAAAAGTGTGAAGGTCAAAAAAGGCCAGAGAAGCAGAGCAGCAACTTCAGTTGCTTCCCAAGCCCTGAGACAGAAATGGCTAAGGTTGTAAAAATACATTTGCAGTTACTGCTCATTATACAGTAGGACAAACAACTATGTAAAATCTGCTTGTGCCAATAAAAAAGTGTCACTTCAGGGGAGGTCAGATAGATCCTTGTGCTATTTCTAACACTGCATATTGCTGAGTCATCTTTGCTGTCCTGTCCTTCTCATTTGCTCCCTACAAGCTCTTAATAGCTTTGCAGAATGCATTTCTTTCATCCGGTCAAAAACTCTGCTTTGTCTACCTGGCTAGAAGCACTTGTTTCTCGCTTCTAATGATTTTAGCAGTCCTCTCACTTGTACTTTCCTCCTGCTTCCAGCTGCCTTGCTTTAGCCTGTGGTGGCACGGGGCAAGACTGAACTATAGTCTAATGTGCTGCATTAGAGATTCAGCTCTCCTACTTTGCTCCATGTTCAGCAGCTGTCTGTCTGTATTACTTTAGAGATTGCATTCTAGATTTTAGTCACTTCTGTGATGTCTAGATAACGATACGTCAAATTTATTCTCAGTAGCACTGGAGTCAAAACCACTTCGTCTCAAATACAGCTGTCATTAGTTCCCTATGCTATGCAACAGCTTCAAACTGTTTCAGTGAGCAGGGAGAAATAAATGGAGCTATCCAATCAATATAGCAGGCTGAACTTGAAGTACCCATCCTTTATTTAAGCTTCTTTGCTGGGAGTCAGTGTTTTATTAATCTTAATCCTGAGAACTGTGGTAAGTTGAAAGAAAGTAATTATTGACATTCACTACACTTAGCCAGGAAAGTACTTCCCTATTGAGAGTTCTGCAGGAACACAGACACGATCTGAGGAACAAAGAGTCATCATCAAAAGGTGTTTTTCATTTGAAAAAACTAAAATATCAATGATGAAAACCAACATCAGGCTGCAAATAACCATGGAGAACAAGCCCCATGCTTGATTACTGTGTACAGCCATATCACTGTTTCCATCCATACACAGCTCCCCATATGGGAAATATTCTCAGGATGACACAGTGCAGGTGATGAGAGAAATGCCAGGTAGGTACCCAGATGTGTGACTTTTAGCCAGATTTTATGTCAGTGCAAGTTTCTCTGGAAAGGTGTGAAACCACCACCCCCAGAGGTGGGCAATCCTAGAATAAATATTTGTGCAGCAGTAATTGCCAAGCTTATGTTTGAAATTAAGGAGGCTTTGTATCACTTTTCTTCTTCTTCTCAACAGTGTAAAAGTAGAATACGATCCTTAACCTGACATTTCAGCCCATAGAAATACAGCCCACTCTGTTGTGGCTCAGCCTTGAACATGATGTCTCTCATAACATGGAGGGATGGCTGTGTGTGGGTACAGAACATAATAATGCTGCTAAGTATCTGTCTGCAGGTCAAATCACACTGTGATTTTTTTTCCTCCAGAATAATAGTCTAGAATGGTGTAGCAGAAATACTTCCAAAATAACCAGTTACCAGCCATCACCATTTCCACGCCCAGAATCTAGCTCAGACCCAGGGTTAGGAAAAAGCTGAAGCCTGCCTGACCAGTGGTATGGTTGCCATAAACAAATAAGGTTAGTTTGTCTGTGAAATAGTATCATAAACAGAGGGCCTCTGCTGTTACAGCACCTCACCTCTGGAACTGTCTGTTTGGGATAATTGGCTTTTTTTCCTAGTGTCTCAGGGCACTGGTGCCAGAAAATACTTTTCCCTCTGAAAAGCTTGCACTGGTTATGAATGTGTGGGGGTGGAATATAAATTAAATACCTTAAAAACTGCTTGAACTGCCTTCAGTTGTGTTTGTCTCATGCCTTTACAAATGACCATTTTTACTTTCAGATCACAGATTTTCCAGAAAAGCTGGAAGTCAATGGGAGGGGAAGGAAGGCCCCATCTTTGCACATCTATAAGCACAAAGAAGCACTGGTGCCCATTCCTCTTCACAGCAAAACCTGTGGTACTCCATTAAACTGTGACTGATGACAGCCTGAACAGAAAAGGCACTGGATGACTCACATTCCAAAAGGGTCTTGAAAGCTTCCTTTTTGTGTGGATGTGTAACAACAAGCTGTTATCCAAGTGCTTGTTTCTCTGATAGCACCAAAGGCCACAGCTTGGTGACCACCTCGATTTCTGGGGCTGGGAACCAGGTGATTTTGCAGAATTCAGTCCTATCTCTGGCTGTCTCTGCAACACTGTCAAGGCTGGGAAACAGGGAACAAGATCATCAAAACTTAGACAAACTCACCTTTATTCCATTTCACTGGGGAATTCAAGATTATGCATTTGAATCTAACCACTTATTCCAGTCCCTGGTGATCAGGCAGCACTTTGAATGACAAAGACATTGGAAAGATTTCCACCGCACTGCAGCCAGCAGGATTCATAAAATCATAGCATAATTTGTGTTGGAAAAGACCTTTATGAACATCAAGTTAACCTAATACTGCTAAGTCCACCACTAAACCATGTCCCCACATATTTATGCATCTAGAAAGTACGAGTTCAGTCTACACCAATTATCTAATTTATCTAGATAGTAAATTCTCACCTCATATCCCAAGACAGGTGGGATGTCTTTTCTCTGAAACTTCTCATCCCTGCCTTGGATTATGGAGGAGACAGAATATTGGTTACATGCAGCTGCCTGACCCTTATATAGAGCTGGCCAGCCAACTCAGGTCTTTACTTGTCATTAAGTAGATTAATGTTTCCCCAGCTAAATGTTCTGCTCTTCCTGGCCCTGCTGTTCATCGACAGCTCTATATAGGAGCAGAGCTCAAGCTGCTGCAAACTGAGAAATATGTGTTCATGCTGTGGGGTAGGACAGGGAGAGAGGAGACTTGTTGCTGTATTGCAATTACAGTTATGAATGCTGATAAAAGCAACTTGAATATTATCTTTGGCAATTATCATCCATGTCCTGCTTCTCCTGCCAAAGGCTGATAAATAAAGCTGAGGGCTGTGCTGAAGGCAGCCTCACAAAGCCATACCCACAAGGAGCTCAGTCCTGCAGTACAGTTGCCATACAGCTCCTTTTGCAAAAAGCCAAATTCCTACCTGGTCTGTCTGCATACAGGTCTAGGAAAATCCCCTCCTCCATGAGATGCTGAAGGCACAATTTTCTTCTTCTCCTTGCTCCAGCTTTCCACATACTCCCACTCACAAGTCACACGTTGTCTTACCATCTCTTCTCCATCTCACCGCCGCTGGCTCTCTCAGACCATTTCTAGTTTGCTGCCTGGTCACACCTGCAGGAAGAAGGAGTTAGGCTCTGCTTTAGCACTTCCTGAGGCCAAATCTATGTGTCACCATGGCTGTGAAGTGCCTCTTAGTTAGGATAGCACATCTGTGATCCTGGAAGGATGAGAACAACAGCAAAGACAATTGTCAGGCCTGCAACCCCATCCTCATGTCTGTAGCCTTCTGGACACCAAAAACCCAACCCTGGGGCTGATCAGTATTTCCTTCACCCATTGCCTAATCCCACAAGCTTCAAAGAGTAACAAGGCGCTCTCTCACTTTTGCTGTGTTAATAATTCTGTTTCTCCATATGCTGAATGTTTCACACCCATTCTGGGATCCAGGAACTAAGAAATGTTACACATATATAAAATTTCACCCAAAAAATTTGGCATGCCACGGAAGCCAGAGCACAAAAGTGCCCAGCTTTGACTGTTGTGGGAGCCAGGAAGGAAATAGGAAATTAATAATAAACTTTCCAAAGTCACACATGGCACAAAGTGAGCCAGTTGCCACAGTCAGAGTTACAGGGCAGCAAAGCTAAATTTAATGGCAAATTACATGACTTTCTGGAGGAGAATGCAATGATACTTCACAGTATCCAGTGAATAAAACTTCCTGAAACACCCAACCTGATGCTTCATTCCAACATCAAATGTTGCAGTTGAACTGGATTCCATGTTGCAAAACACCCTATGTCCTAAGTCACAGGATTTACCAACTTCAATCTTATTTTCCTTATTTTAGTGACAGTGCAAGGTGCAAATTCATTCCAGCAAGCCTAAGTCTTCTCAATTAGGAGGCTAATGGAAAGGCATGAGGTTCTTTGGGGGGCAATTCAGACCTCCACTGAAGTGAACTGCAGTCCTTTGCCATAAAAAAATAAGATTAGGTTGTCTATGAAATAGTATCATAAACAGAGGGCCACTGCTGTTACAGCACCCCACCTCTGGCATTGTCTGTTTGGGTTAGTTGGCAGTCCTTAGAGGAGCAAAATAGAGCAAGCTTTCATAAGAACTCCTGCAACAGTTTAGGAGTTACTGTCTGCAAATGATCTAACAAATTCCCCACCAAGAATTGCTGTCAGCATGAAATAGAAATGTGAGAAAAGCTACAATTGCATGTTTATGTTTATTTCTTCAATTCCCAAATTCTTATTTTGTTTTTTATTCTAAGTTATTCTTCTTTCTCTCACCCTCTTCCCCTCCATCCTGACACTCCTTTATTTCTGCCACCATATGCCTCCCCAGTTTCTCGTGTTCTCAGACACACACCTCTCTCCTCCCCTCCTTTTTCCTTTTGCTGTGAAAGCCGAGGGTCTCAGCCTGGTTTGGTGCACCTCTTCCTTAACAGTGGTTTTTGGAGCAGTTTGTGGAGATGTGCACTAGAGAATACACAGTCCCCTTTCATAAAGCCTTCCATGGACAAGGACTAGGAGTGACAGGTAGAGTAGCAGGATGAGAGGTGAGAAATTTTTCTGTGCAGCCATTGTCCCTAATGTGCAGAAATTCCAGAGCTGATCTCCACAACAGTTCTTTTCATACACAAAAAGAATGAGTCATCTACATGTAGAGTATCAAAAGAAATCCAGAGAAATTCAGTTTTTCTGTCATCCCATGAGGTCCAGGGGATAGGACAAGACTCTTAGGATTTTTTCCCACATTCCTGCGATTATGTTGAAACCGGCAGCCTTCCTCATGGACAGCAGCAGAGGCCATTGTCCTATCCACTCACTGCCATTCACTCTCAAGCATGAGCCCTCCATAGTGCAGGATGAGTCAGCTTCTACATCTTTTTCTCATTCATGTACCATTTTTCTCATCTTCCTACTCAGATCATCATACTCACAGACTTCCTGCCATGGCATTACAGGCATGCATCTATGCAGGATCTATACTGAGTACCACCACACAATGAATCCAGCTCTACTATTCATCCCAACCCTTGGCCACTCTGTGGGAATACCATCATTATGGCAGGCCTTGGACTTGTGTCAATACCATCAGCCCCTGTTTCTCTGTGACCTATAAAACTAAATCAGATGGGAAAGATCTTCAGCCTGAGGAACTAACAGACCACTTTAACAAGTTGAAAGTGAAACAAAGCATCTGAGAAACAGTGCAGCAGTGCTGTGGAAAACAACATTTCTCATTTCAATTAGTGGGTTTTGATACATAACAGGCATCCTGGCAGTTCCTGGCAGCAGGTAGATCACACCAAAAGAGCTGAGACTGGAAAGTGCTCTCACCATTGTAAACAGACAGGACCATGCCACAGATAAATAAGAGAAGCAAGGCAGAAAGGATGGTCATGCCAATGGTAAAAATGGACAGGAGTTAGGAGGAATAGGAAGAGGATGGAGAAGACAGAGACAGGCATATTGGTGGTGAAGCTCTCAAAATTGTGGCTCCCAACAAGGTTTGCAAGGAAGAGGAACTCTAGAGTAGGTCTATTCCCAGGAAAAAGGGTCCATCCACAACACCACTGTGTGTTTGTGTTAATAGTAGTAACATCACCTCACACAGAGTGGTGTGACCTTCTGTCACCTTCATCACTACCCAGGTGCTACTGCTTCCAGTGCAACAGAGAGAAGGAACAAGGGCTGGTGCCTGTTGGGGAAAGATGACCATTTTCACTTGCCTCACAACAAGAGAGCCACTGTGTTTGCCAGATGGATAAACACTTCTCTCTGCCCTCTGAGCTCATAACAAGCCCATCCTGGGAAGAGAGCACAAAAGCTCTCTTAGAAATGTCCATGGAATCACCAAGAGACCCTGCAGTTCACAGCAGCTTTGTGCCCTACATTCCTGTGTTAACTCCCTAATCCAAGGAGGCAAAATCCAGCAGAAAGCAGAGGACAGGAGGCAGCACGTCCCACACGGAAGCAGCACACCCACGGATGTGCCTTCAGCAAGGAAAACTGTTAGTCTGAGGAAGCATTGCCTGAGCTGGGTCCTTGCTGCCTCCACGGCAAAGCTTTACCATAGCATTTGCTGAGGCTAAAAGTCATCATGGAAATGATGAAAACAGAAAAGTTGGTGGAGCTAGCAGGGAACCATCTATCAGTACATATTAAAAATGAATTATCAGCAAAAAAGCTTCTCTCTTCCAATGAGAAAATAATGATGGATGGACAGATGAAAAATTAGTAAGAAGACAGAAAAGAAATTTTCAGTCCCTCCTGCAGCTCAGCAGTCATAAGTCTTACATTAATTTTAGTTACAGACAGATGATGTATTAATTAGGTTTTGCCCAAGGCGTGTCATTTTAATTAAATATCTATTCAAACTAGGAAAACAGGAAAATGGTTTATTTTCTTTCCTAATTCTTTATCAAGAGCTTAATATTTTCTTATGTAATTTCAAATAATAACAAACAACTTTTATTAGAAGTGAAGGCTGAAATCCTTCATGAGGCACAGAAATCAAATCAAAGTACAGAGTTGTAGAAGACATGGTTTACAAAGATTGGTCACATATTTAATTGAGAGACTATCAGTTTGTTTAAATAGTTGTATATTTTATATTTTACATGAGCTGAAATCCCCCACAATATTTGAAATATCACAGTGCCTTCTGTGAGCCTTCAGTTGCAGAATTGCGTAATGACTGGTGCCATATAAATGCTTCCAGGAGGATCTGACCTGCTTCAAAATAACAAGACAGCCTGCCAGGTTCAAATTGCTGGAATATGACTCAGCACCTTCATTCCCACTGCCCTTGACTATAAAATACAGAAATACAAAAGCAGTGGATGAACCATTTCACATCTGAGTTGTAGGTGCTTGAACAATCCCCCCAAAACAGATGCCAGAGTTCCCTGCCTAGAGCACAGAGGAGGAGTGTATCAGAGACAGGTGTCCTCAAAGGCCTTCAGAGGAAGAGGATGCTGCCTGCACACGTCCATCCTATCACTGACATCAAAAAGAGGTAATATCCCTGTGGGGATCCTCACATTAAAATATTATTTGATATCTGGGGCTTCCCCAATCACTTTACAAGAGTACTTTGTTATTATTTCTGTTGAGCAGAGAGCAGAGTGTCTCTTCCCAAAAAGGCTGTTCCTACCTCCCTTGCCCTATATACCATGAGATACTCTTAATCATCCAGAAATTATCCATAAGAAGAGGAGACAAAGACTCTTAATTAGAGGAATAAAATTGCAACTAAAGTAGTATGTGCACAAGGTGCCCAAAAGCCACACAGCTTTATGAGCTGTTCATTGGGGGGTGAGTAGGCTGTAAACTAATAAAATTATTTTATATAAACCTTGTATAATGGAGCCAGGAATTCTACAAAGACATCTACACTAAGCAAATGGTGAACCTGAACTTTTACAGAAACTTTCAGTTCACTTTTAACAGATTTCCACCA